TACTGCCCTCATGAGGCTGATTGATTAATCTGTCTCTTATACACATCTAGATGTGTATAAGAGACCACACACACACATATATATTACAGTATATATAATTATATAACAATAGTGGGATTAATAATAAGTAAACCGGGTACTGCTTATAAGATTTATAACAATATTTATTTACAATTCGTTTCGAAAAAAATAGAAATGTCAAATGAATTATTTTTAATTAGAATATTGATTAACTTCGTTCAGTGGAGAAAATGAAAGTCAACAATGGGCGGCTTACTTATCGCACGAGTACATTTCTATGGATGAATCAATAAACTGAATGAACAGTGACTCTGCTTGCGGCCGGGAAACACAATGTGTTTTTATATAATATATAGGCTACGTCTTCATGAAGTAATTGCATTACGTAGGAGGGTTTGAACAATATTCCTATTATAGCGTCACTATATAAAATAAGCGCTATATGTTATATACAAACCTCTTCTATAATATTGTTCTTCTGTAATAATGAGACTGCTGAACAAGAATTTCCATAGACAGTCTTGAGTCCGGACTTGAAGGCCTATTTGCAATAAAATCGCTTGTAAAATTACAAAAAATCCCTTCCTTGAATCACAGCCATTTATTCAGCAAATGAGGGGAAACTTTGTCACAGTTCCTATGAGTGATTCAATGCTTACGCGTCTGCTAGACTAAGGAAGCATTTGTTTTTTATTAGGTGCCCTTAAAAAATCGACGTGTTGAACTACACCGTTGACTGAGTGGTTTGCTGTTTGTTCCTTTAGCTTTGGCACACGCCCTCAGTTGATGAATCTTGTGATTTAGTTTCCACTAAAATAACTCAATATTTTACTCGTATACATAATTCAAAAGACTACTGCTAAATATTTTTCTTATAATTATTAATATTTTCAGCTTAGAAAACGAAGTGGGTTTAGTTATTATTACGTGTAACACAGAAGCGAATAGCCTCATCTTTCTGCGCATGTCCTGTTTCCATGGGATCGTTGACGCCTATGATAGATTTGTTGTAAAGGAAAAAAAAGTCAACATGCTTCGCAAAAAGTGAAGATTACATCCAAATTAGAGTCTTGTCGGTTAGCAATTTATAAATCCCAGGATGTCTATGACTCACACAGTACGTAAGCCTGTGGTAAACCCCACTAGGACTCATGATTATTTGTATGGTAAGTATGATCAACAACAAAATTCTAGCCCCAGACCCCCATTCAAGCCAGCTTCATCGGCATCAGCAGACTAACGCTCGCAGCGCGCGACGGAGGATATAGGGGTTAGGCCTAGGTGATTTTTTTTTTTTTTTTTTTTTTTTGCTTTTTTTTTTGCTCCTCTAAATGAGGATGTCATGACATTAGGCCCTAGACCTACTACTACTAGTCCCTAGGCCTAGCCTAGCCTAGTTTTTTAATTTAGGCCAGTTACTGTATAGGATCCTAGTACTTTTTTAAAAAGTTTTAATTTCACTGTTTTCAGGCCTAGGCCTATGCCTAGGCTATTTTACCTATACTGTTACTACTAGTAGAATTGGTAGATAATAAATAATAAACATCTTCATTACTACAGATACAGTACACACACTTTCCAGTGAACGAGATCATGCAAGGGCAACATTCAAGGCACACACGAATACAGATCGTGTTGTAAGTATCTTTTTCAGTTAACTTACACTACAGTACTACTACTATATTATTATTACTTCACTAATTCTATTACTGTAGTTGTTTTCCCAACCTAAAAACTATGCATTACTGGCTGAATATCCACAGAGAAAGAAAAATAATATCTGGTTTTTTATCATCACATTATGTATCAGCCTGTTCTATGCAAATATACTTTTCTGCATTTAAGGATTGTTGTCATAGAAATAGAGATGGGTAGTCTAGCCGATAAGCTCAAAACTCGCATGTTTAGTGCCAAGAGGAGGCAAAAGACCCAGATATGCTGCCCTACTTACACTGAAGCTGTAAAACCACAATATTTTTCATAATGAAAGTCTTGTATTTTATTTTACAGAAACGAGTGCCACAGTACAACACTATATTTAGTGAACTCCGCCATCACCCTCGGTTTACGATGCGCCTGGAATCCACAGATCCGGTGCCCAAATTCATATCTCGACAGTGGCGCGGCTATGCTGAACAAAATCGGGAGGCACTTATAAGATATACAACGTAAGGACACTTTAAAAAAATAAATAAATAAAAAATACAATTTTACAAAAGTACAGTAATTTGTCACCCTAATAGTGGAAATTTAAAAAAATAAAACAAAGGAGGATGCTGGTCTGTGCAAGCAATCAGAGGCCTCATTCTAAAGCTTTGTCCTCGCTATCAAATTTTCTGTTGTATGCCTATATATAGTCATGATGTGCCTATATATGATATGATGTGCCTAACATATTTTGGCATGACACATGTTTTTGTAAAATAAAATTTTATAGTCTGGAAGGTCTTTACATTAAATATTATTGATTAAATAAATTGTAGAATTTTTAGCTCCGATGAGGAGCTCTAGAAACACTCGGCTGATGGATTAATATACCGTTTTTAGATCTACTGTCTCTATTATACTGCCCTCATGAGGCTGATTGATTAATAGTTGATTGATTAATAGATCTTAATTTGATCTACTGCCTCCTATTATACTGCCCTCATGAGGAGCTCTAGAAACACTTGGCTGATATTAATATACCTTTTTTAGATCTACTGCCTCTATTATACTGTCCTCATGAGGCTGATTGATTAATAGTTGATTAATAGATCTTTATAGCTCTACTGCCTCTATTATACTGCCCTCATGAGGAGCTCTAGAAACACTTGTCTGATTGATTAATAGTTGGTGCATTGATAGATCTTGTTTAGCTCTATTATACTGCCCTCATCGGAGCTTTCAAGATTACGAGAACTTGTTTTTTTTTCTATATACAGTCAGTAGTTTTATTATTATTGTATATGTTATTGTTCTCCACAGGTTTAACTATGCCCCACACCTTCAAGTTCCTCCCAAGACTTTTGCTGATCCACAAGTGTCTGGCAGAAACCGCTATCGATATTTCCGTCGCCCGATTATTCCATTCCTTCAACAGGTTCCACCAGAAGTGATTTTGCAGCAATCTAGGTATGTTGAGCTCAGTAGAGGTTCGTCAACTGTTGAGTTGATTCCTCATTATTGTCACAGATATGGTTGTTATCTTTATTACTTTATCATCATTTTTGCCATCATTATCATAAACATATTTCATCATTATCACCATCATCATCATATTTATCATACTCATTACCACCATCATCTTTACCATTACCATCTTCACATAATCACATCACCATCATCATTATAGATCATCATCCCTATCTGTCATCGTCGTAATCATCACCATCAATTTTATTATCAGTATCTTTTATCATTATCACCATCATTTTATCATTTTCATCATCATCATCATCATCATCATCATCATATTTATTCTTGTCACCACCACCACCAACATCATATTTACCATAATCATTACCATCTTCACATTATCAACATCCACATCATCATTCATTGGCATCATCATAATCATCATCATCATCAACATTCATCATCATGACCATCATCATCATCATGATCGTCATCATCATCATCATCATCACATTAATTTCCTTTACATCCAACAGCAAGTACACTCACCTCTTACAGGGTGGAACGATGCTTTATAAACCAAGTCTCTTATTGAGGCTTAGGGAGTAGAGTTGTTTTTAGTTGTGAGAAAAAGTCCTGCTGACAGGAATTGAACCCAGGACCCTAAGCTATTCACATAAACAAAATTGATGCCACATTGAGTCACCATTATAATTCTTTAAAAAATATCTTGTATCTTGTATCCAATGATTGCAGTTTCTCCTAATTGTAGTACTGTACTTATTTTTTTCTCATGAAATAGAATGGATCCCCTTGGACATCATGAGCACATGCAAGAGAGGGCACCAACACCGCTCACGAGGACGGTTGAAATCCAAACAGATTATCGGGAGAGCGAGACTCAAACTGACCCATATACTCCCGAGTATGTTGTCCGACCAGGATCCCAACCAGAGCTGCTTACCCTGGCAACCTTATCATATGGTGAGCTTTACTAATTTGACCCATTTGTCATTCTACAAGATGGGCATCATCCTGGAAAAAAAATATGTGTGTATCATATGTATGCATATACACACACAAAACATGGATACACAGTACCAGAGATAAAAATTGATAAATATATATAATAAATATTGTTGGTTATTTATTATTAATATATCATCAGTATTGTTAATATTTCTATTGTTTTTTTTGTTCTCCCATGGAATTACATTATTCCTGAAGACTTCTAGGACCTTCCTGATTCATAAGAATCCCTGCCATGAATCCTATTCCTGAAGCTCATCTATCCTGGTCTCTATACCAATGTGCTCCAGTCTTTCCTTTAATTTCTTCGAGTGACCACTGTTTTTATTTTCCATCATTTTGTTTTTATTTTCCATCATTTTGTTTTTATTTTTCATCTTTTCTAGATCCTGATATTTTACAACTTTCTCCATTTCTTTCTTCTCGATGTGGCTATGGTGATTGTTGGTACAATTTTATTATTATTTATTATAAATGTTATTATTTTATAGGTCATGGTTTACCTGCTGGTCTAGCTGAAGTAGAAATGATTGAGAGAGCTCGTGCCAAGAGAGCTTGGGAGGAAACACTGCCACCATTGAATGATGTTAGCCAGCTGGAGAAAAGAAAGAGAATGATGGAGGAGATGGAGAGGAAAGAGTGGGCTCTAAGAGAGGAAGAAATCGAAAAGTGAGTCTACAATCTTATATTCTATTGAGCCATTCATATGTCCTGTTTGTGTGCATAAAGGATAGTTGTATATACACACATATATAACTTCAGAAGGAATTTTTTTTTTAAATGGGAGATCACCAAAGCATGAATTTCTAAAAAAAATGTTTTTAATAGATTACAGGAAGCCAGGTTAGAAATGCTGCAGAAGATCCTTAAGGAGAGAGAGGAAAACCACATGGAGTTGAATAGTAAACGACTGGACAAACTGTGGAGCAAAAAACAGAAGGAAAAGGAAAAGAAAGTGGCATGGATAAGAAAAGAACATATAAAAAGTAAGCATATTAAAAAAGGGCATGTTATATTTAGTGAACAAATTTGCAAGCTCTTTTTAAGCTCTGCCCAACCTCTCAAACGTTATGTGACAAACCTTAAACATTGTCTGTTTTCTTTTACTTTTCATATTTAAGTAAGTTATTAACATTCAAAACTTAAAAAAAAACCATAATTTCCTCACCAATTATCAGGCGAATATTAATACCACCATTCCTATATATTCTTTGCCATTTAATTCGTCTGGTAATCATGGATTTTTGTAGTAAATCAGAGAAAACTTAATTGTTTTAATCTACTCATTCCTCCTACTTTCCATCTCTATTGAATAATTAATTTCATTGGACCCCTCCTTATTACTGTTTACTTCTCTAAACTACAGCTATTCGGAGATTGACAGAGAAGCGTCGTAAAGTTGAAGGCAAACTGGAACGCCGGGATATCACTAAATCCTACGCAGAGTATGATTCTCAGGTGTATGCGCCGATGACGCGACTTGGTGTCTTCCTGGATAAGGGATCAGAACAGAATGTTGTGAAGAGTAAATATTTGACCACTTATCAAGGTAATGTTAATTGTCTATTGATATTAGTGCCAAGGATGGGGAGGGGGTGGCCATGACAAGGCTCTGACCCTGTATCCTGCTCTGCCATTTGGGTCCTGGCCGCTTTGCATCTCTTGGTGACACTTATATTAATTCATGTGGTAAATTACAATATGGTAATTATTCTTATTTTTGTTATATTTAGAATAAAATAATTAAGTTGTTTTTTTGAATTTAGTAAACAAGCTATAATTGTATTAGATTTGCCACAAGTCTCTAATTTATAGATTTTTATTAGGTAATCTCAGAGAGTGCCACCAGCATCGGTTTATGTCGGTTGTGTTTAATTTAGATGGATCCCAGAAAAAGTATACTATGGAAGGCCATGCAAATAAGTAATATGGAATGCCATTGGTGCCAAAATCGATTTATTTTTAAGCATTTTCACTGTTTAAGACAAAGTTTATGGACTGGAACCCAGTATCCTGTGATAAATATAAATATTGCTATTTTATACCATTTACTTTATCATACTAGTAAATAACTTATTTACATAGGTACATTTACACAATAACATAGTAAATTCTAATTTCTTAGGTCTTCTTGAACTTGAAAATTACCTTCCTGCTTATGTGACTCAACCCCGAGTGAAGGCACCACGACCAAAGAGCCAAGGGAAGACAGGCTTCATAAGGAGGGCTCAGCGAAAAGAGAAAGAATTAGATGAAGTTTACAAAGGTAGAGCAAACAAATAAATGTACTTAGTTCAGATCCAAGAGTGTCTAGGCACAGGATGGAAGTAATACATTCTATAAACCAAGGTCTCATGAGCCATAGGGAGTGAATTATGGTTATGACAGACTTGAACCCAGGACCCTGTAAACATCTTAAGCTATAGCCCCACTCCACAAACACCAATTCTATCAAACTACTAAACCCAGACAATGTCCACAAATAACTAGGTAAATATATAACAATTACACCACTACTGTACTTCAGAATCTACATTCCATTGAGAATTATTACAAAATAACATATATTTTATGTTTTCAGCCTGGTTCACGAGAGCCCTAGTATCCGGATCGGGAGCTAACCGTTAGCATTATCCGGATACCGCTAAAGGTTAGCAAGCGCTATCGGTTAGCAAGTTGAGCGCGTTTTTATCATCAACCAATCACACGTACCCATTTACAATTTCCAGTTTCTTATTGGCCATTGATTCGAGTATCATATTTTTGGTATCCGGATCGAGATCTTCTCGTATGGACGCACAGCAGTAACGGTTAGCAGGATCCGGATCCGGATCCTGCTAACCGTTAGCAGCCGTGTGAGGACATAGCCTATATCTAAGTTTAATTGAACATAATAAAAATACAAAATTCTTTACTATACATATCTATATGCAATGGCTCTGTGGTTACAAAAAAACTAAGAAACTACTATGATCTTTCTAACCTAAGAAAATGTATGTTGATTTATTTCATGTTATTCTCAAATAGGAATTAAAGCTGCCAAGAATAAAGGCCAAGAGGCGGCTAAGCCACTGCGCTTCTTACAGAAGATTGAGAAACCAATTCCAAGGCCACCAACACCCACGGTTGACATACCTGACCAGCAGGAAGAGGAGAAAGAGTTAGCCATCATCTTTCTCCAGCAGGTCATTCGTGGCCGTGCTGTCCAGAATATGGTAAGACATTCAAGCTGTCCTATGTAGCGAATTTACACCATACAAACTCGTCCCCATGCAAACGTTCCCCCTGATAGTAGTCTCCACTGAAAAGTTTCCTCTTGACTAGAATTGATCACTTCCAATTTTTAAGTTCATGATCTTCTTGTGGCAATTAACTAATGGCATAGGAATTTGTCAGGTTTATATTAGATTAATAATGCATTGTTTTTTGCTTTAGATGTTTGAAGGGAAGGAGAAACGACAAGAACTTATCAATGAACTCCGCAGTACACATGCCCTCCAGGAGGCTGAACAGCAGATAAACAAGGAGGAAAAGCAGGTGACGTTGAACCTGCAAAGACAGCGCAAGCTTTATGATCAGAAGGTACTGTATGTATGGAGCTGATGGTGAATAGTTACATTGTATCATTTAGCCAGGAATGCTGTTCATGTGATGTTTCACTACAAAGGCGAGACAGCGATATAAAGCTATCATAAGCTGAAGCAGTACAATCATTTAGAGTGTTATGATGTATATATTTTTGTCTGGATGTTTGTTGTTAATTCAATATTTGCTTTTTATAGGAGTCATACATTGATGAAGCTCTGTCTGGTCTTGAGGGAGCAAGCATTGGTGACACCCTGGACTTCCTCAGCAAGGAATTGGTCCGCCTACAAGAAGAGCGTCGCATCCACGCTTTCGCCATGCTTGCCGAGCGCCAGAGGCGTATCAGAGAAGCAGAGGAGTCCGGCAGGCGACAAGTTGAAGAACGGAGGAGACGAGAGGAGGATGAAATCTTTAAGCAAGTGATCAAGGTGCACCAGAAGTCGGTGGATACGTACCTGGAGGACATCATCATGGGTTCCGTTGAGCAGACTGCATCGAAACAAGCACGGCAGGAGATCCAGGTGATGGCAGACCAGATTAATCAGGTGGCTTATGAAATGGAAGACAGGTAAAGTTATGAAAACAGATGATTACAGTGAAAAAGAGGGTGGGCTCTGGAAGTGAGGGTGGGGGTGTGAAGTGAGAGTGGGCTTTTAAAGTGAGGGTGGGGTGTGGGCAGTGGTTGGAAGACAGATGTGGTTGGAAAAAAATGAAACAGTAAAGTGTTTTTAAATATAGCAGATTTTTTTTTGTTTTATTTTCTTAGGTTTTGACACTTCTGAAACATGCATTATAAAATTTAAATTTTTTTTTAAAATATTATGTCATTTTATTCCTTATACCACTCATATTATTTAGTTGATGTTTTCTTGATTTATTGTCTAATTTTGTGGTACTTCATTGGCCAACAGACGGACTTCTCTAGATTCTGAAGAGATAGTAGCAGAGCTGGTTCACTCATTCTTGCTTCCTGAGGTTCAGAAACTTACAATCAGGGAAAAAAGTAAGTTCTGTGTAATATGATATCTTGACTTTTTATGTGGCAGGTGTGTTAGTTACAGGTGTACAATTTGAGCCTCAACATGTATCGCCATGAGCATTATATCATACCTTGGAGTTATAATTATCAAAATAATTAAAAATCCATGGTTGTACCATCAGTGTGAGCCAATACCAAAATGATGACAAACCGACAGAAATTATTCGGACTAGATACAGGTTTGCTTACTTTGATAGTTGAACAACAGGGGTGGAAGAATCCACATCCGGGAGATGTGTTTGAATGACTGAGGTTTCTTAACACATCTGACTTCCGGGGGTGACAATTAATAATACAATTTATACAATTAATAAAAACATGCAAATATTGTGAATTTGCGAGAGATTGGTTATTTTCCGTGAGATTCTTGCTTGCTTGAGGGAGAATCCCGCAGCTTGTAGGAAACTTGGGACCCCTGAAACAAACTCTGAAGTTGGTGATACACCACAATGGCTCGCATTGCCTTCTTTGGAATTCGTTCTGTATTATCTTACATTATGTGCATTCTTTGTCAGTGTTATAAGCACCTCTCCTTCTAAGTACAGCATGGTAGCTGAATATGGATTTTATCAGAGTATCTATTTAAACTTATCGGTGAAACCAATAATTGGTTTTTGTTTTTCAATACACTACTGTACAACTGTGTTGCGATTTTTTGCAGTTAAACAGACTCAGCGTAAGCATTTACTGGCTGCTCATAATACCATTCACAAGGAAGGAGAGGAAGTGATCAGCCAATACCCAAGTAGACGGAAACCGTCTAGACAAACACCATCATCTGCCAGAAGCTCTCCCAAGCCTGGTGATGCTAAGACTCCAGGGGGCAGCAGACCTGCCTCTGCTAGTGGAAGACCACCTAGTGCAGGTTCATCAAGAAAGTCTAGCAAGGGATCTCGCAAAGGTATGACAACCATAAGGTCAATTCTTGTTCAAATCATTATTAGGGCTCTATTGTAGAATACTTATTCACATCCTTACTAGTTACTTTATAAGTAATACACAGATTTGTGTAAGAGTATTGAAATATAAAATTTATAAGAATTATTGCTACAGATTATAATTTCATTTTGATATATTTTTATCTTTATCGTATCATAATTTCTTTTTATATATAGCTAATATTTTATTTATCTATTGACCATTGATGAAAATTAATAATTAATGTTAAATTAGTTTGATTCACTTTTACTTAGGATCAGCAACTGAACACCAGTCTCCAGCACCGGTTGCACCATCATCTTCAAGGCCCGGAAGTGCATCTCGCAACTCACCGATTCTAGATCGTGTAGCATCTGGCCAATCAGGTGCAAGGAGAGGTTCAGGCTCATCAACAAAAAGTGGTCGAGCTGAATCACCCAAGGTATTGCACATTAAAATATTGTACTTCTTATATCTACACTTATAAAATTATAAATAATAATAATGATAATGTTACATTTATATAATTTAACATAATTCCAGAGCTTCTTTACATAAACAGAAAAGAGAGAATTAAAAGTGAGAATGAATGAAGAAAAAACTAAATCAAGAAATGACCTATAAAAATTAGACTAAGACATTTTATTTCTATTCCACAAGTCTCAGGCCACATCAAACACAGTGCAATAAGAAATTGAGTGCCCACCATCAAAACTCAAAACACCACTCAATACAGGCGTGCAATTACACACTCCTCAAACTTTCACTTTCTGTTAGATTCACGGACAGAGATGCGGCCAAAGGTCATTGAATTTGCTTAAAAGGCACAAATGATTGAGACGATGAAGTTCATAAAAACATTTTTTTTAGTATTACTGATGCCTATCTAATCCTGTATAGATTAACTAGTGCAATTATATTTGACCTATAACATCATTCCATCATTATTCTAATATCTTCATTTCTAGCTTCAGTATTTCCATTATTTTTACCCATCCCATTCCAGGCTTCATCTTTGTATTCCTAGCTGTATCATTCAATGTTTGTATAAAGAGCCTGAAATTCATTACTAAAGAGATTTATCTTGCTGTACCATAATATTTCTTGACTTAACTTCTTAATCATATTACATTCTCTGGTTTCTTCTGTCTAGCATTCTTCCTCCACTAAGAACTAGAACAGTGTGGTATGTGAAATCAAACTCAGTGTTGCATGCAATATTATGTTAATGTCTTGTCATAACAAAATACTAGTTTTTTTTAATGTAACCATCATCATAATGCATATTTTTCTAATATTAATATTCAAATCATTTAAAACAATAAAGATGTGATAAACACTAATGAGAAAGCAATGGAAAGACTGCTCTTTCTTCACTATATGCATTTTTACAAATCAAATAAAGATTTGTTATCATTTTAACAAGTTTATTTTTCTAATCACTGTTTAGCTTGTATTTTTACTATCAGCAATTTTTAAACAAATGCATCAAAGGTGTGTGCATTTTGTGTATCTTGTAATTCAGTAATATTGTTTTAATCTGCAATTATTTTTTTCAAAGCTACTTTGTGAATATGCTTAACTTGTAATGCATGCTCTTTATTATCATGAAGGCAGATGCAGGGCCGGCGGAACATTTTTTAAAGTGGGGGGGGGCACTAGCA